CTAGTGTTTCAGGTTTACTTTAGAATGCTCTTGGCCAAGCAGAAGGGTCCATTCAGTTGGTTGTGTGCTTAGAATTTTATTTTTGACTTACGCAGACTGTCAGCTGCTTCGTGTCACATCTCACGCTTCTCTTGTGTTGCCCAGTTTTCTCAGTGCTTCCGACTGCATGTTTTTGTACTAGATGAAAAGCCTTCTTTCTAGAAAACTACCAGTTAAATATTTCTTTAGAAAAATGTAATATTGCTTACTGTAGTTATTTTTCAAATGCAAATATAGATGAGCACTGTTCCATCTTCTAGGGATAGGTTGGGGTGTGTGTGTGGGGGGGCTTACATAGAAATTCAGTGTTATTTTGTAGCAGTATGATGACTTCTGATACCAATTACCCAGAGTTAAGCCAAATTTCATGTGTTAAGGACACAGTAGCCCACAAGACTGCCCTCACTTCAGACACCAGCCACAAATCTGGGAGTTCCCAGGCTACCTTTACTTATAACCAATTGGCTACAAAGTCAGGAATTCCCCTAACCCCTGCAGGTTGATAACTTTCTAGAATGAATATCTGAACTCAGGAGAGTTCTGTGTTTATGATGACAATTATAGAAAAAGGATACGAATCAGAACCAGCCCAAGGATGAGATGCATGGGGAAGAGTATGGGAGTACCCCAAATGCAAAGCTTCTGTCTCCCCTGCAGCATGTTACCCTGCTGGCACACTGATGTGTGACAATGCACAGAGAAATGCCTACCATGGAAGCTCACCGGAGCTTTGGTGTCCAGAGTTTTTATTGGGGTTTCATTACGTATTCATGAATGATTGAATCATTGACCTCACAGTGGAACTCAATCACCAGCTCCCCCTCCTCTCCCTAGAGGTGTGGCTGATATTACATGGCTCAAAGCCCCAACTCTAATTACATGCTTGGTATTTCTGGCATGACCAGCAGCCATCGCAGCCATCCTGTTATCTCATTAGCATAAAGTAGAGGCCAACTGTGAGTCACCTCTTTAGCATAAACTATCAGAAAATGCAGGAGTCTGTCCTGCAGACCCTGACCCAACAATGGATGGATAAAGTACACTGACACACAGACATTCTGCTTTGCCAGTCCAACTGAGTGTCCGGGCTGCTTACAGACTCCAAGCAGAGTGCTGTCAACAGTTGGGACAGCTGCCCTGACCAGCCAGTGAGACTTGTATTTATTCAGTAAAGATTAATTGACAGAGGCTTGAGTCAACACCACTAGATGGTAATTGACATTGTGGACTTCCCGAGTAGAAAGCAGTTAAGCACCCGCTGTACATCAAAGGTTAGTCTTAGGACCACATGAGTAAACGAACTAGTTAGGTAAACTCCCCACATTCCTTTGTTTCTACTCTAATTTATTTAAGAGGACAAGGCTGCCTTCAGCCAAGTTTATTACTTGAGCAAACCCTCCAGGCTTTCCAAGAAGGTTTGCGTCATATAATTTTCCGCACCAATCCTGACTGAACCCCCACAAGATGTAGCCCACCATGAATAGTAAAAGGTATTTCTATCCCTCAGGAAATTCCAGTGATCTAGGGGTGATTTCCCAGGAACTAGGGACAAAGTCCAGCCAAGTTCTTCATTTTTATTTTATTTTATTTTATTTTATTTTATTTTATTTATTTTGAGACAGAGTTTCACTCTTGTTGCCCAGGCTGGAGTGCAGTGGCGCGATCTCAGCTCACTGCAACCTCCGCCTCCGGGGTTCAAGCAATTCTCCTGCCTCAGCCTTCTGAGTAGCTGGGATTACAGGCATGCGCCACCATGCCCAGCTAATTTTGTGTTTTTAATAGAGATGGGTTTCTCCATGTTGATCAGGCTGGTCTTGAACTCCTGACCTCAGGTGATCCTCCCGCCTCGGCCTCCCAAAGTGCTGGGATTACAGGTGTGAGCCACAGC